TTGCAGTACAGTTGTGAACCAGCTTGATCGGGGCTCACCTTCTCGTAACTGTACCACGACTTCTTACTGGAGGATGGTTCAGGTGTCAGCCGGTGGATGAGGCTGTAAGTGTCAGCCGACTTAGCACACTTCAGGTAGTCGGTTTCTTCTTTATCTGCTAAGTAGAGGCGGACAGGAGGCGGCACACGTCTCAAGAATTCTTCAACAAGCATCAGGTTGACGAGTTCTGTAAAAGTAGAGACATGTGCTGCTTCCAGCCATTTCATGAAATACCTCCGTTTCGTGTTAGCAAACTCGAGGAAGGTAGTGGTACTTGCCTTCAGGTGGTCACGGAATTTCCTTCTATAACTTTCAGTAGAGAGGAGGTAGGCGTCCAACACTGCTTGTTTCAGAGTGTAGTAGTCATTCTCAGACGCCAAAGTACTGAGTGTGACTGCAGCTCTACCTGTAAGATGGACTCTGAGAAGTGTGGCCCATTGGTCGACAGGCCAACTGAGTTGATTAGCAAGGGTTTCAAAGGTGGTAAAAAACACATCAACTTCTGCTTCTACAAAGGATGGCATTAACTTACTTGCATGTGATATATTAAAACTGACGGGAAGATTGGCAGTAGCTTGCTGGCGTTGAGTGAAGTGGGAAGTTTCCAAGGCGATTTCACGTTGACGACACTCTAGAGCCAGAGTTGCTTGTTGCTTGTCATGTTCGCGTTGTATTTCCAACTCGCGTTGTTTTGTTTCAAGCTGTACTCTCTCACGTTCATGGAGCAAGGCGACCTCACGTTCGTGGAGGGCGAGTCCACGTTCGTGTTCTTCTCTCCTCAAGGCAGCTTCGCGTTCTTGTTCTTCCCTTCGTATGGTAGCTGCTTCTCTTTGCTGCTCACGTTCAATCTTAGCCAGCTCTAGTTTAAGTTTCATCGTAGCCAAGTCAGTTTTCTCTGCAATATAGTAAGTTTCATGAGTTTCAGAGTCTATCTTACCTTGCTCTAAATAGTAATCCAGCAACAGGTTGTGTAGGTCATTTTTGTTGGCTTGGTAGGGAACTTCTAGTTGATACTCATGTGCAAGAGTTTGTAGTTCAGTCCTCTTGGCACGACTTAAAGTCCCTATTTCACCTGCTGGATTTGCACGGAAAGTTTGGAGACGAAACATGGTGAAATTAGCAAATAAAGGTACACGAATGTTCAATAATGAAATGTCAGAAACAGGACAACGTGGCAACTGGTACCTATCCTGTGTGATCTTTAACAATTAACGTTAAGTGAAAGATATTAAATTAAATCAAGGGCGCAGGAAATCTTGTACCCGGTACTCATGTAAGAGAATAAGGGCAAGAAAATCCTACTAACAAATGAAACAAAGTTTCGAAAACAAATGAAACAGTTAAATGCTTCAAAAGTAAAATTGGTAGTCCAAGGATGTAGGCATACCTTGCCAAGTCTCTATAGGACATAAAGCAAGTTTTTCCCACTGAATTTAATATGATACTTACAGAATTAGCGAACTTTTGTGCTCTGAAAAAATAAGCTAATTCCCTACCGTTGTATGTATCATCATCTCTGACTGACGTGTAGGGGTGCGAGGTGTCAACTGGTGACGAGAACTGCTGCTGAGGTCCCAATTCAGCAACTAAAGTTCGAGCTAGAGGAACTATGGCCCTCTTTGTCCTCCTACAGTCAGATTGCAGAAGATTGGGTACTCTTGACCCGGGGCAGACCACAGTACCAGGGTACCAATATGATGATCTGTCAGAATGAGAAATATTCAAGGGACATAGATGGTAAATACGAGTAATAACAAGGAGGGAGAGATGACCAATTAAGAGTATGACTGCGGCCTACAGTCACCACGTAATCCAAAGTTGTCTCACCTTCACTATATGTTACTCTCGTAATGCACAATACACCGCACCTTATAAAAAATGAAATTGAATGAAAAATAGTAAAGCTACGTTAACAGAGTTAAATACGCTTACCATAAATTACCACTTGGCACCAGTACCTGAGTGAAGCTCCTAGGACAGGCCCCCATATAACTTGTGACGGTAACGCGTTGGTGTTCGGCTGTTTAAGGCTAGGGGTATGGCCTCGTCACATAGTTATAAAAAAAATAGAAAAACTGGAACTTCGTCTGTGGTAAGGTAAGGAGAAGACACACAAAACACAAGTAAAACTTTAACAATGAAATTTTAATTACGTTAAATAAATCAAAACATGAAAATAATGCACAAACAAATATGTATAATAAAATCAATGAATCAAAATAATAAGAATACTTAAATGACACAATGAAAAGTTACGTTAAGGCAAAATAACAAGAAGTGCAACACAAAAGTTAAGTGGGAGGTGCTGGAATATTGGCTTAAAGCCACCACCTCTCTCAGTACACGCTAACGTCTAGCTGGGAGGAGTGCTGGCTACGAAAGCACGGAACATTCTGAGGACTGATGTTGGGGCGACCCCAGACATCAGGTAGTATTGGGGCGAGTGCAGGTGCAGCCAGACCGGCGACCAATCAGCGGAGCCGTAGCGATCAACGGGTAGTTTGGTGGTTGGAGTTCGAACAGGTGGCTGGATGCATACGTTTCTGCTCACCCTGGCAAGCCTTGCTGGTGCTGGTGTTGTTGTCGTTGTTTGACATTTCTTCCATAGTCTTTTATATAATTGTGAAGACGTAATTATGAAGGGAAGAGCAGGCTCAATCTCTTGAAGGAGATTATCGTCACAATATATATATATATATATATTATAAATGCGCATTGTACTTGTTAATATCACCAATTAAATTTGCGACAATTTGAGCCAAGAAGTGCGACGACTAGATCACTGTGTACGGGAGGCTGCTATGCCAGCAAACACTCTCCAGGCGACCATATATCTTAGATAAGTCGCTCCACAACATTGTCGCTTGGACCGTCGACTTCCTATGGCGTCACCTACTACATATTTACTCCTAATTTCGTTATGCAATTAAATTATTTTAGAATAAAAATAGGTTTTATCATGTTCTGCATTCAGCACCAACATTATAGTGAGTAAATATACCATATTTCTTCATTACTTACGTAATGCTAGCAGGATTTGGGGGATTTAGGTAGATTTGGGTAATTCTATGGACCCCTAACGGGGTAATAGGAGATGAAGTCCTTCACGAAACTGGCAGAGAGAAAGATCTAGGAGTTGATATCACGCCAGACCTGTCTCCTGAAGCTCACATCAAAAGAATAACATCAGCGGCGAATGCCAGACTGGCTAACATTAGAACTGCCTTCAAGAACCTGTGTAAGGAATCCTTCAGAACCTTGTATACCACATTTGTAAGGCCAATCCTGGAGTATGCGGCCCCAGCATGGAGCCCGTACCTTGTCAAGCACAAGACGAAGTTGGAGAAAGTTTAGAGGTATGCCACTAGGCTAGTCCCAGAACCAAGAAGCATGAGTTACGAGGATAAAGATAAAGGTAGATAAAGAACAATTATTTAACATGAGTGGTACTCCCACAAGGGGACATAGGTGGAAACTGAGAACCCATATGACCCACAGATACATTATTTCATTGTGTAGGGGGACAGACAGCCCTAGTGAATCTATACATGTAGACTTATATCATTGTGTAGGAGGACAGGCAGCCCTAGTGAATCTATACATGTAGACTTATATCATTGTGTAGGGGGACAGGCAGCCCGAGTGAATCTATACACGTAGCCTTATATCGACGTCCCCCCTCCCCCCCAAAGGTTGAATTACTGACCCTTCCCAGGATGCAACCCCCACAACAAGCTAACTAACTACCAGGTACCTACTTACTGCTAGGTGAACGGCCGCATTAGGTAATAGGAAATTTGCCAAACACTTTCTGTCCCTACTGGAATTCACGAGAATGAGTAGAGAACGAACCCGACTGTACTACTGGGACACCCTGTTCTGTTGGGAACCTCTGGCCCACGTTCCGAAGCTCAACTTGATTATAATATATATTTATATATTTCCAATCCAACTATATATTTATTTATTTATATACAAGAAGGTACATTGGGGGTCAAGAGAGTACATAGCAATGATGATTTTACATTCTTGGCAGGTGCATGGAATGGACTTTGGCTTTTGTTTATGAGAATGAATTGCATAATTAACGACGTCCGAACACTTCCAGAACAAGTGCTTCGCTGACAACTTTTGTTCAAACCACAACGTGGTAAATGTTCACCCGCGTACTACAAATGTGTAATCGCCAACAGAACTTGAACACCTAACCTAACCAATGCCTAAGTATGCACAGTAAATAACAATATTAATTATATTTGAGACAATTTCTGTTTTGAATGAACAGCATGTTAAAATTGATGAGTGTATCGTTGGGGTCGACCGCTGGATAGAATAGACTTGGTCTGAGGACGGGTTGCTGTAAATGCCTCACCCACCTAAACAAACCTAATAATAATACTGTAATAATTTATATATGAGAACAAACCGTTTTTATTGCGCACTATGTTAAAATTGATGAACGAGTCTCGGCATTCATCAATTTATACTGTGCGGCCGCTCCTCTAACGAGCCTAGCCTGAGGACGGGTTGCATGCTCACACTTGTCCTGACCCACACCTGCCAAGACTCACACCTGCTTAGGCCCACAACCCCCCCTCCCCCCCCCAAAAAAAAAACTCACATCGATCCCAACCTACACCTTTCCAGACTCACACTTATCCCGAATCACACCTGACTAGGCTGACACCTGCCCACGCCCAACCTGACCTGACCCGCATTTGTGTAGGTGCTTGACCAGACCCAACCTTACCTCACTCTTACCCGTCCCTTCCCCTGACTTTGGTTAAAAAAAAAACTCATTACATATAACTTCATAACAGCATTACAAAATAAAGTACGGTACAGTATTTTAATGTTTATTAATTAATATATGTAATTGTAAAATGACACAAGTAGAGTTGAGAGTTTGTGATGTTGAGGGGGTGATGCTGTTAATTAAGATGCGGTTGGTGCGTGTACAGGTGCAGTGGCTGATGGACAACTACGAGACGGCCGAGGGTGTGAGTCTGCCCAGGTCGACCCTCTACAACCACTACCTCCGTCACTGTGCTGACCATAAGCTCGACCCCGTCAACGCTGCCTCCTTCGGCAAGCTCATCCGAAGTGTCTTCCTCGGCCTCCGAACTCGTCGCCTCGGCACCAGGTACCCGCCGCCCCTTCCTTTATACCTCACCTCTTGTGCCCTATAGTGGTACCAGGTACCCCCCCTCATACTTCACCCATTCTCTCCTGTACTGACACCAGGTTCTCCCTCATACCTCAGCCTTTCTCCCCCTATACTGGTATCAGGTACTGCTCATACCTCATCCCCATCCCCTTATACTGGTACCTCATACATCCTTGTACATCATCCCTCCTACCCCCATTCCCTATATTGGCCACCAGGTACACTCTCATACTTCACAAATCCGGTGAAGAAGATATCAACCCAAGTGAGAACACCTAACAAACATTCGGATTGGATGCCGCTAGGTTCACAAAGTAAATAGGTAAACACAGGTTCACAGAGTTACAGACCACCAGTACAAGTTACCAAGTAATGTCATAGAAGCAAACTCTTTGGAAAGTTTCAGGCATTGATTAGGAAAATATGAATGGGAGCTGGTCTAGTCATGACCCTAATACACTGCTGAACCAGCATTTGGCTTTGGCCGCTTCAATTTATAAGCAGACATTGAGAGTTTTTTATTTTATAACTTTTATTCATTTTAGGTTTTGGTCAGCTGATTCTGCCCCATTTTTCAAATGTGACTTGCAAAGTTGAATTGAGTACTGTATTGACTAATTTTTTAGGTACTGAACAGAGACTGGAGTGGGGTGAGGGACAGTATGCCAAGGACTGGAAAAACAATCCTTAATTCAAATACCATTGGTTCAAACTATTTCAAATGAGAGATCCTGCAATAATCTTAATTTGTCAAAGTTCTTTTTAATTTCTTAAATATGTAATTTGTTCTTGACCCTACCGGATCTTCTTGAGGTTATTTTGAGATGATTTCGGGGCTTAGCGTCCCTGTGGCCCGGTCCTCGACCAGACCTCCTTTTGTTACATATCCCCAGGAAACAACCCGTAGCAGCTGTCTAACTCCCTGGTACCTATTTACTGCTAGGTAACAGGCATCAGGGTGAATGAAACTCTGCCCAATTGTTTCAGCCTCCACTGGGGATCGAACCCGGAACCTCAGGACTATGAATCTGAAGTGCTGTCCACTCAGCTGTCAGGCCTACATTGAACATAAATTCTGAAACTGTTTCTTTTTCCATATAGATCAGTAGTTCATCATGCTAAGATTTGTTATCTTTTAATTCTTTCAGGGGTAACAGCAAGTATCATTATTATGGCATTCGTGTGAAACCATCATCCCCACTTGTTAATATAAATGATGATGGCAGTCCTATCTCACTGCGTCAGCAGCCCTCGGCGACTCATGTAAAAAAGAACAGCCAACAACAGCTCCAGCAGCAGCAGCAGCAGCAACAACAACAGCAAAGCCAAGGTGTACAAAATCAGCAAGGCAAGGGTGTAACGTCAAGCATGCAGAAAAATAGTGACACCCACTACGATTCACATACTCAAGTTCCTGCTGAGGCATCCCCACAGGTATCTGCAGGGACATCCTTTTTAACATATTGCTTTTTTAACTTTCAGTACAATTTATTTTAAATCCCCTGAAGTTTTTACTAACAGAAGAATTTGTAATAAAGAAATTGCATTCATATCCTTAAAAATTGCCCATAGTCACAATTTATTTGATGTTACACTGCTGTAAATTAATGGGTTTGAATTTTCAGACTCTTCAAAACCAACAGTACCTTGGTGATATTAGCCAAGCTGTGCCTATGTTCGGGGAAGTAGATTTTGGAACAACTCCTCTGCCAGCGGGGGTGACAAGACCACACCTGCACACATTTACTGTGCTTTACAGGGAACATTGTGAAACTATTTTGGAAGCTGTTTATAATCTCCAGGTATTATTATATTTGTACTGCATGTTTAAATTGATTTATTACAGAATTTGCTATCTTTTTAATGTACTGCTGTATAAGAATACTTGATTTAGCAATTAAAGGTTATGTTACATAGCAATTTTCATGTCACACTATAACTATTGAGTATAAGCAATTATTTTTCTTGTATCAAGATTTTTATATATATATATACTGTACAAAAGTTCTTACATTCTTGTACAACCACTAGAATGCATAGCATTTTGGACAAGTCCTTAATCCTAATTTTCCCTGAAATATGACCTGCCAAATCATTTAACAAACAGGAACCCATTCACTGATGGGTGAAAAAGAGTCTACAGTTAAGGATTGGTGCCAAGTAAATCCTCCCTGGCCAGGATATGAACTCGGGCCAAAGCGCTCGCGAAACGCCATGCGAGCGTGTTACCACTTCGCCACAGGGACTGTAAGATGAAGAGATGCCGATATTTCAGTCTGTCCTGGACCATTATCAATTCGATTGTAATAATGATTGTGATCAAGACAATCGACTTGGTAATGGTCCAGGACGGACCGAATCGTCATTTCTTCATCTTCTGGTGTGTGGTTTAGTCATCATATCTTCAGCCATGTTATTGTGACTCATTGTCTGTTTTTTCTTGTTTGATTTAGCATAAGCATTTTGCTTCTTATATTGACTGTGAAGACCTCCACAATACAGGAATTTACTGCACTTTTTCTGTTACCAACAGCATTTATCTCTGTACAATTTTATATCTCTGGCAGAAATGTCATATTTCTGTACTTGAAAAACACTGTAACAAACTAAGTTTTAGAATTCACAATTCACCTCTTCAATTCATGTGGTTTCAGTGGTCTTGTGGAATTTCCATCCAAACCTGCTCTCACTTTGTGTGAGTTTCAGGATTGCTCGTTGTTTGTGCCACATGTCAGCATTCATTCTTTCTGCTCTTCCCATATGATTCTTCTTTGTGACCCTCCCGATAAGGTTAGGGCTTCCTGGGCAACAACCACTTTGCATATTGGTTCTTCTTCGTTGCAGTGATCTAGGTTGTGTGCCAGGTTGGAGGTCCTGGTTGGTGTGTTTGGACCTGAAATTGGAGGTGTTGGTGACCTCCACCTTGGCTTTGTCCTCACCTCCTCTTCCATCCCCCTCTGTGTACAGTTTGCCTGTATTCTGATTCCCCCTTTCCCCCGATCCACCTGTTTATGGCCCCAGAATATCTGAGGGTTTGCAGTTCTTGGCAGCCTTGGTTTCAGGTACATGCTTGCATGGTGCCTGAATCTGGGCATTTTTCCATAGCTCCGCCTCTATCGGAAGGTCAGCCCAGCAACATACTGAGTACTTTGCTGGTTTTGCCTCCTCCTCAGCTCTTCACATCTGGTATTTTAGAAACGTGGCAAGGTGCTTGTGACAAGTCACAAGCTCCTTCTTTTCTGCCGAAGAATGGGATGGTTGGCTTCTGGAGGGGTCCTCTGGTCATTAATGTGTGTGGTTGGTTCAGCTGTTGTGCATCATGTGTTGTATCTGGGAGTGGCTCTCCACCACTTCCTTTGTGCTGCTTCAGTGGATGCCTTATGAGTTACTCCTCTTTCCTTGGTCCCCCTGTTCCAAAGGCTCGTCTTTCTTAGGTCGTTTGCAGTATTATTCAGTCTAACCAGTCTGCAGTCTACCCTCGTGCCGCTGAAGTTAGGAACTATGCTGCTTTGTCGGTGGAGTTCATGAACATGTCCTGGGCTGATATTTGGGTGTCAGGGTTTTGGAGGTCGAACAGGGTCCTAGCAGTCCAGTATCTTGTCAATGTTCCCGGACCTTAGTACCCTCATGTGGCTTTGGGTCATCTCTTTTGACCAGGGGTCTCATCTTGACATGTATCTTGTGAAGCTTCCTCCTCTCTAGTGTGTTCCTATGTTTCCTTCACCGTGGATAGCTAACTTCAGGGAGCCACAAGGGGCTGGCCCCTAGAAAACCAGCATTTAATGTAATGTAACCAATTTCTGGGTGAGCGCCACTGACTCCCTGATCCTCTCCCTCTCTCCCTTCCAGTTCATCAGGTGGATGCCTACATCTACCCTAAAACTGAGGGCTGAGATGCCTGCTGGTGGTGAGCTACCTCCACCTTCCCCACAAATAAGTGGGGGAGGTGGGGCAAATGAGCCTGTACTAGTTCTGAGAAAATTAAATCATTTGTTTACATAATTGGAGAGTTCTTTAGGCAGATTTTGTGTCTTCAGTCTCTTTAGAAGCCAGCAGGGGGTATGTTTTAACTCACTGACTTTGTGGTTGCCTTCTCTGGTGACATGGCAAAAATAAATGTCACATTCCCTGCACCTCTTTGAGTGGGCCAGGTTCTAGTATTGGTCCCCTGTAGCCCTATAGAACAACGCAGCTGACGTGCTCTAGTAGATGGTACCATTTCGCCTGACAGCTGACAGTGGACAGCGCTTCGGATTTGTAGTCCTGAGGTTCCGGGTTCGATTCCCGGTGGAGGTGGAGACAAATGGACAAAAAGTTTCTTTCATCCTAATGCCCCTGTTACCTAGCAGTAAATAGGTACCTGGGAGTTAGACAGCTGCTACGGGTTGCTTCCTGGGGTTGTGTAACAAAAAGAAGGCCTGGTCGAGGATCGGGCCCAGGGACGCTTAGCCCTGAAATCATCTCAAGATAACCTCAAGGTAAGATATCAGTACCGTGTATAGTAGCTTCAAGGAGCCACCAAAAAATGCTCACCCAGAAATTAGCATTTCATTACACTCAAATCTGGTTTTTTCCTTCATGTCAAACAGTTTCCAGTGGTAGAAAACTTATGGAGACGATTTTGGATGGTAAACAACAACAACACCGTAACCAACGTGGCAAAATCCTCATCTAGTGAAGTGTCCGATGACGACGATGGAGACCTGGCCTCTCTCTTGCCGTCATCTGTCCTTCAAGTGAGCTTCACCAAGAGGTTCTTTTGCTTGTAAATTCTTTAAAATTATTATGTAAGAATTTTAAAAATATATATATACTGTATACTGTATATAGAAAATTGTATTTAAAGTTTAGTTAAATAGAGCACAAAGTGTTGATACAGAAACAGCAAGTTAAAAGTAACATTTTTGTTTGTAGATAATAATTTGACTTTTATGACTATTAAATCTAACAGATACTCGAAACTAGACCTAATAAACGAAAAAAGTGGAATGAGTGAGTTCAGGTAACTGAAATTAGGGATGTGAGGGATTTACCGAAGTTTCAACTGATGTCTTAATTGTTAATTGCTAAATGCCTTAGTTGTTAATTTTAATTAAGGTTTATAATTTGGCATAGCAGTAGAGTCTCTAATACATTCTATGCGTGCTTATTTATTTATGGCATCACATGAAGCAGGACCATTCTCCATAATCATTCTCAATCAAAACCACTGTCAAATATCTTCACTATATTGACCATGTTTTGATCATCACACCAAACCATTTCAGTATGGATAATTTTTGAAACAAAATGAATTACACGAGAATAAGGGAAATGGCAGAAGTCTTACTGGCCCATAAGATGCAGCTTCTATTTATATCCTCCCAAATTCATTCATATACATGTCTAACCTATGTTTGAAACAATCATGCAATCCATGTTTGGATTGCAAGCATGGATTGCAAGATTGTACAATTGCAAATTGCAAATGTACAATTGTAAATTGTTACAATTACAATTGCTGGATATTATCCAGCATTTTGTTACATAAATCAACAGCTCTTTTTTTTATTCTCTTTATAAGAGAGGTATCTTATCCCTGGGATTAATCTTGACATTCTTCTCTGTACACATTCAAGTGAATTTATGTCCATTCTATAGCACAGAGATTAAAACTTTGACTGCATACTGGAAATGAGGGCATAACAAGAACTAGATAAAGTTATGGAATTATATTAAATGTCTTATAGCTAACACTTCTAGAAATAAATCCCAGTAGCCCATACAATGTACTATAAAAATAGAAAGAGATGACTACCTTTCCTAGATACACCAATAATAAAAGATAGTGACGCACTCGGATGCAAGATAACGCCAACAATGCTTGCATCACACACAGGAACCAGGAGCAACAACTCATGAATGTTAAGCACACTAAACTCATCATGTTATGCAATGTGGAATAGGAGAACATAGACCCCACACAACCTTTAAATTATGTGAGAAATCTTTAAAGAATTCCGAGAAAGAAAGAGATCTATGGGCGGTTCTAGATAAAAAAGTATCACATGAGGATCACATAAAGAACATTGTGCGAGGAGCCTATGCTACACTTTCTAACTTCAGAATTGCTTTTAAATACATGGATGACGAAATACTGTACTAAAGAAACTGTTCACGACTTTTGTTAGACCAAAGCTGGAATATGCAGCGGTTGTATGGTGCCCATATCTTAAGAAGCACATAAACAAACTGGAAAAGGTGCAAAGACATGCAACTAAATGGATCCCAGAACTGAAGGATAGGAGCTATGAGGAGAGGTTAGAGGCATTAAGTATGCCAAAACTAGAAGATAGAAGAAAAAGAGGCAATATGATCACTACATACAAAATAGTAACAGGAATTGATAAAATTGATAGGGAAGAATTCCTGAGACCTGGAACTTCAAGAGCAAGAGGTCATAGATTTAAACTAACTAAACAAAGCTACAGAAGAAATATAAGAACATTCACTTTTGCAAACAGAGTGGTAGGTAGACAGTTGGAACAGGTTAGGTGAGAGAGTGGTGGAAGCCAAAACCATCAGTAATTTCTAAGCGTTATGTGACAAAGAGTGCTGGGGAGACGGGACACCACGAGCATAGCTCTCATCCTGTAACTACACTTTGATAATTACACTTAGGTAATTATGAGTTAAGAAAATAACATTAAAAGATAATGTATATAGACTCTAGCCATCAGCACCATTCCACCATTGAACAATCAAGGAAAATTTAGTGCTAATTCCTGACTTGCTTAAAAAAATACAAAATTTAAATTGTGACTTAATCCTACATATCCCTGAACTTCCCCCCCTCCCTCCCTGGACCTTTCTCCTGCCACTTTTTACCTTTACTGTATAGTGCACATACTGGTCCTGTGTACCTCTGGTAGATTAGATATGCCTCTTATAGGAAGGTTACTGCATTTACAAATAATGTTTACTATCAACTTGGTGTTTCTCTGTTACATTATGATAACATTTAATATTGTGTTGGTTGGTACTAAATGCCAATGTATGTTTAATTAATATGAGCTTTAAATTTTAGATTTCTACAATTTTTGTACTGTATATTACTTGATAAATTTAGTTGGAATTAGCTACAGTTAGAATTCCATCAAATGCCTTATAATTCTTGATTAAAATTTACTTATTTCAGGCCCTGTTACGTGCGCCACCAGTATTAGATTTTGTCCGCAATTTTGACTACCAGTTCTACCAAAATCTGGTTGAAGTGTTAATTCCTGATGTGCTACGATCTATCCCCTCCAGCCTCACTCAGGCCATCAGAAATTTTGCCAAGAGTCTTGAGTCTTGGTTATCTAGTGCAATGCTCGGCTGCCCATCAGAAGTAGTAAACATTAAGGTAAACTTTAGCACTGTCAAAGATCTTAAATAGATTTTATCACAAGTTGGAGATAGAATTTACCATTTGCCAAGTTCCTAGAACAAGTTCGTACTTAAGTTCCTACTTAAGATGCACTTTTATTGATGGGTTTAACAAATGGGTCAGGGTACACAAGGTAAGATAACCACCAGATACACAAGCCTTAGGTTTATTTCCGTAACACATGCATGTGGTGCAATATAAGTGTGGCAGCCAGAATGGGTGTTAATACAGTGCCTGAACCAATCGCATACAAATATGACAGAGAAGTGGAAAATCAAGAAGTGCAGCAGGGACAGTGGCTATGATGCAGGGCCATAGAACTGGATCTCAATCTCTGTAGATACAATTTGACAACAACAACTATAAATACAAGTTGGACAGCAGCTGGGTTGAACACTATACAGGGTTGTTTACCTGCATACTAGCAGGCACAGCTGCAGGCTGAGTGACAGCTGGAGTGACTACTGTTCTTTCTCTTGATATTCTCCATGTAGAGTGGCAGCAGGTTTTCCCTGGGGATGTTACTCAGACCTGTGATGGGTGTACAGGGACATACTGAACCAACCCTACCTATAAAGAGAAAAGGTGCATAACCATTGTGTTAGTAAAGTCAGTAAGGTTAATCAAGATTAGCTCTACAACTATTGATTAAAAGCTCCACGTGTCTACAGTTTGTCTGATCCACAAGTTCCTCCTTAAAGGCTTCCAACTGGAGCCATGCACAATTACTCGGACACATTCATACTTTGGTGGTATGTACTCGTCTCCATGAGGCTCTTAATGGACCCTGACGTACTGGGTATATAAGGCGACTTATTTCAGGGCTGACACAAAACTTAATCATACCCTGATGCATCCTGCAAACACTGTTCAGTCAACTTTTGTGTACTCACTCCCCTCATTCTTGCACCACTTACCCCAAGCCCTAACTTATATTCCAGTCTCTCACACGCACACTCTTACTGTACTAATATGAATCCTCATATTAGTCCTCTCTCTACATGAGGTGCTCTTTCGCTTTTAGGTACCCATGTTCATCCACAATTTTCTGGGTCTGTAAATGTTCTACAATACCAGATTTTCTAAGCATCTTTAGCTTGATGACAAGAGATCACTAAACTCACATCTCTTAAAGTATTGACTTTAAGAGATAAATTTGGTGTATGGGACATAACTAAAATACTAAGTCAGTATACATAAGTCTAAAATACTTGCAAGTATTTTAGACTTGCTCAAAATGAAGCTTTTTCACCTACCCTTAAACACTATTTACATATCCTTGTTTAATAAATCTGAACATAATGAATGATACCTGCAGGGTTAGCAGGTTTCTCTGGAGAGTGTATGGAAAAAAGTATTAACAAAAATTTGTGCTAAGGATATTTTAGCACAGAATTTTGTTTTATTGTTTTATCTAAATAATTTGTATTATTTCTATATGATTTGTGCATTTCTATATGATTATAATTTATGTGTTTCTTTATCTTTAGTAACAGAATCTGTATTTTACTTCAGGTAACAGCTGTGGCATCACTGGCTCAGACTTTACGGCGCTATACTTCATTAAATCATTTAGCTCAAGCTGCAAGAGCAGTACTCCAAAACTCATCACAAATTTCTCAGATGTTGGCTGATCTTAATCGAGTGGACTTTCACAATGTCCAAGAGCAAGTGAGTGAACAGAAAGTGTTTCATAACTACTGCTTTTCACAGGTTTTTAAAACGATTTGCAACTTTTGGGAGAGGGGCCCCCTCAGTGGCTGCCTGAGCTGAATGCCAGTCCATCCATGTTTTGGGAAGATGCAAAAGGCTTCTGAGGCCCACCCTTGCCTACTGGGAGTCAAGCTCAGACTTTGTCAATCTCTATAAGGCAAGAGGCGATTGGGGGATCAGAGATCAACCTAAAACTAAGAAGAAAAACAAAGTAGAAGCACAACAAGACAAGCAATTGCTTGAAGAAATTTAGATATTCAGTAGTAAGAAGGAAAACAAGCTTTACTGTGGTGTACACACCCTAGCCATGATGCTTCAGACTGCCAGCAGGTGGCAGCCAAGATCACCCAGAGCTTCAGTCAGCCTACCCCCTTCACTCCCTTACCTGGTCACAACATAGGAGATATAGGTCCTCTTTCAGGCCCTTCCTGCTGAAAGTAGTAAGATGCAGTAAGGTGCATCATGGTTAGAATGCTTACATTGCACAACTTAATTTTCTTCAAGCCAATGCTTGTTTTTGTGTGCTTATACCTTCTGGTGTTTCTTTTCTGAAATTTGGGTTTGGTTTCTTAATCCCTAAGCTCCCCCGGCCTCAAAGCCAGATTCTGGTCCTGGCTCTTGGTAGGCAAGGGTGGGTCTCAGACCTGGTGCATCTTCCTAAGGCTTGGCTGTACCACCACTTAGTTTAGAGGGCTACTGATCCCCAGAAAAGAGCATTTCATTGCATTCAAAGCTTAAATTTGTAACACATTTGTGACACGGGAGTCATTAAGTGTGTGTTTGTGGGGGTATGTAATTAGCCGTGCATGTCTAGCATACCCAGGAGACACCTTCACTGATGTACAGCACTGAGGAATGTGCTCTTTAGTGAGTTTTGAGTTACATTTGCCCAAAACTGCCTTAACACTGGAAACCTGGTTTCCACTGTTTTATGGATTCTGACTAAATATTTGAATTTGGACAATGGTAAATATATTTTAGAAACAATGTGTACCTTCATACTGTTATAGATAAAGGAAAGAGACAAGCAGAGATATAATGTTTCCCTTGACATAGATTTAATATTCACGATGATCACAATATTTTATCGTCTTTCTCCTAGGCATCATGGGTTTGTCAGTGTGATGTTGGATTGGTGGATCGGCTAGAAGAAGATTTTAAGTCAACACTCCAACAGCAAAACAGCCTTGAGCAATGGGCTGAATGGTTACAAGCTGTTGTTTCACAAGTCCTTCGACCTCATGAAGGAAAAGTGGACTTCCCAAAGCAAGCTCGGCAGTTTCTTTTGAAGTGGTCATTTTACAGGTTAATATCCAATACTGTATTTCTGAAATTGCAGACACCTTTTCCCCATCTCGTCCCACCACCTAACCACAATTCTCTTCTACAGATTTATTTCTGAAACCTCCCCCAACACTCATCCAATTTCAGGTCACCATATCAATGACCTGCAGCCCAACATTCTGCAACTACTCAGAGTTTTAAATGCTATACTGTATATGTAAATGATTACTAATTCTGCCACTTATTTCAACAGTGTATTTCCATAAATAGGAACAAACCGTGCAAAAATAAAATCTCATTACCAAAAACAATGCTAAAGACTGTCTTATGGGCAACTACCTCAGCTCCCCATCTCTCTCTCTACAACCAGCTTCTTTAACAATACAGTATGGGGTATCTATAATACAATCACTGAAAACTAAAACAGGCAGTCAAACTGAAATACTGTGCCATATCTGATACTGTATATAAAAATTCATATGTAATAAAATTTACCTTAGGGCTACTAATACTAGTGGCCTCGACAAGGACAGTAAGCTGGCGGCTTGTCAAAGGTCCCCCCCCCCATTTGCCCTGATGATCTTTTCTAGCTATATTTTAAAACCCAGCAGAGTTTTGCCGTTTACAGCTTCGGCAGGAAGGCGGTTCCACAAGTTTACAACCATATGGGTGAAAAAGCATCTCCTGTTTTCTGTGACTTGTGCTACATTTGTTTCCTTGTGACTTGTTGAGCTTGAACCCATTGTTCCTCGTTTGTGCTACATCTGACCTTTTGAAGAAACTCTCCAGATCGACAGCATCCAAATTGTTTAGTACAGTATTTTGAAGGTTTCTATGAGATCCGCCCTGTTTTGCCTGGTCTGCAGTGTTGTTAGCCCAGTGGCTCTCAACCGTTCCTGATACGTGAGATGACTAAGCTCTGGTATGATTTTTGTTGCCCGGTGTTGCACTTTCTCCAGAGCAGCTATGTCTTTCTGAAGATGAGGTCTCCATGCCTGGATTCAATAATCCAGGTGCATCCTGGATTATTGTGCATCCTGGATTATTGTGCATCCTGGATTATTGTGCATCCTGGATTATTGCACATATACACAGCACCAGCCATAACATTACTCAACAAAATAAATGGAATGGCATAGCATTACTTCCTCACCAGAATTTCAAGCCTTTCCTGAGAGCTTTAAAAAGCCAGGATAACTCCAGTACAAAAAATTATTGTTTTCTTTAAATATTAACAACTATAACTTTTTATCTAATCTACCAATGTTTCCTAAAATATTTGAAAAAGTAATATGCAAGAGCTCAACTTTCATCTGTTGAAACAAGATATTTTAAATCCATGCTAATTTAAGTACATAACCCTTAAGGATTCTAATGAATTAATTCTGAAAATGCAAGACATGATATACACTGCAAATTCAAAAATAAAAATTCCAGAACTCAGCCTCCCCTCCACCCCCCCTACATAGGTCACAGACTGCTTAGAATACATATATGACACTATTTATCTGAAATAAACAAGCCTTGGAACAAGAGGGCAAGGACACCCGGTCAACAAACAGTGTGTTACAAGGAGCAGATTGGGCGCCGTACAAATAACAGTGAACAGCCACAATTAGACACAACAAATGGCCTGGTCGAGGACCGGGCCGCGGGGACACTAAAAAGCCCCGAAATCATCTCAAGATAACCTCAAGAAATGATGCACCTGCCAGCTAAATGAACCCAGAATAAATAGCCAACAGTATGAGAAAATCACTAGGGGTCTTGAGGAGGAGTCAAACCCACTCACTTGGGACCCTCAGCCTCCTTCCGTTCCTCCTACTCTCAGTTATCCTCGGAAGATTTCTAGTGATTTGCTCATGGATACATCACGTTAATGTGACTTCATTGTGCAGCCAACACTATATTTTATTTTGTATTATTGTACTGTGCTGTCATACTACAGTAGCCCTGTCTGTATTTAACCACTAAACTACGCAATGCGCCTACAGGTGCTCGATGGGGGGGGGGGGGGCGTTGCACACCCCCCATCGAGCGCCTGTAGGATCTTATATTTTTTAGTGAATGGCTCAAAACTCCCGAGTGTGTGGTGGTCTGAACAGCTGGGGCTGAACAGACCACCTCGGACACATGCTGAGTCAGCACCTCTTTTTTGCCAGACTTCCCTGCCCTATAGCGGGCAAAATATGCCACTTACGATTTTTTTTATTAGTTTTTTCTGTGATCGGGGAACACAAATTAACAGGTTTAGAAGGGTTTTTTTATGCACCTGTGGGTGACAGTGGTCAAATAGCCCTTAGCAACACAAGGGTTAATACAGTATTTAACAACTATATTAATATTTGTCAACTATACAGCACTTTATTTTCCAGTTCGATGGTGATTCGTGACCTTACCCTACGCAGTGCAGCTTCTTTTGGATCCTTCCATCTGATTAGACTCCTGTATGATGAATACATGTTCTACTTGGTAGAGCATCGGGTAGCATCCTCCTTAGGCCTCACTCCAATTGCTGTCATATCTCAGGTTAGTGATTTTTTATGACTATACTGTTTTACATGTATATTTATATATTTACAATCAACACTTTATAATACTTTTTCTGGAGGGAGCCCCTTCAGCTCCCCAGAGCTTACTAGGTTGATATGCTAATGTTAGACGTTGGCATTAGTCATGTGTATGAAGTTCTGTGGGCCTACCAGGGGCTACAGGCCAGAACCTGGCCCCCTCAGAGAGGCATGGGGAGCAATGGCGTATAGACACCCCCGTATGGTTGGAAGAATTCTATGTCTGCCATCGACCGGGTCAGGCACCCAGAAAGGTAAGCATCCCAAAACAAACCCCTATTCTGGTGAAAATATTGTTACCTAAAGCTGAACAAGTGGATAGAACTCCCCTAAAAGAAACGAGCATGACATCACACGTCGCCGCGCCGCTGTCTGCGCAACTTTCCCCTTCCCTGGGAGGGGAAAGGGAGAGCCCCAGACACCCCACGCTATCCACCCGTCAGTTCTTAGGCTGATGCTAGAGACTACGATCGTGTGCTCTGGCTCCAATGTTTTTCTTAAGTGTCATAGTTTCAGCACTGTGCTTTGAGTGTGTTGCCTGTCTTCTAAGGGTGCGAGAGCCAAGAGTTATTCTCCAGTACTCGGGCTACATGCGCCTAGGGTTCCCTTCCCTAGATGCCCTATAAGTACTGCCCTTGGAGCTTGGGGTTACCTTCCACAAGTTCCTTGGGTCCTGCCTCTGCTGGGCTGTTTTACTGCTTGGTTTTTCGGCCGTCCTTTGGGTACTTTGGTGTTTTGTCTCACTTGTTTACCTTAGGGTAAGAGGCAGTTTGCACTGGTACGGGGCACAGGGGGGCTGCGCAGCTTGTTTTCACCGATTATAGCGGCCAGCTCTGTTCCTCTAGGGTACGCTGTCCTCTTGCGGGGTTTTCTTTTTCTTTTTGCCTTGTGGGGGAGATCTGCCCTGCTTATCGCCCACTTGTGCTTGACCTATTACGGTTCTTCTCTGGTGGTGCCCCCTGCTAGGTCCCTGTGAGTGTACACGTCCCTGGGGTTCAGCTTTAGTGAGTTTGCTTGGTAGTTTTGGGTGCCGGTTAACAGTACCCTGCCTGGGGTTACCTGGGTGCGAGTCTCGTTAAGCACTCGGGGCCCTGGGAATCCCCTCGGGGGTGCATGAGTCCGATGGATGTGACCCCGGAGTCCTTCCCCCCTCGCTTTGTGCGAATTTGAGGGTTGTACGATCCCCTTGTCTCAGGGTGAACCTCACTGTTTTTGCCTCCGTCACGTTGCCTGTTGGGTCGGTGACACTTTCGACCCTGAGTCTTGTGAGTTCTGTGAAGTTTTTCGGCTTCTCACATCCATCCTTCTGTGGTGCGGGCAGCCTTTGTGGCTTACCTCCTGTGTGACCCAGATTGTGCCTCGGTGATGGATCCATCTTTTTTCAGGTTTGGGACTTCGTTCCCTTTCTGGGTCCGTTACGAGGTTCCGGAGTCGTCCTGGCTGGCGGACTGTCCTGTCTTTGCCTTGGAGGTTTGACATTCCTTCTGCCGTACCAGCATGCTTGAGTGGCGCGAGGCTGCAACGGTAGTTCAGGTTTTCCTGGGGGAGCGACCTGGAGCATCTCAATGAGTGCTTGCTCTTGCCCTTCCCCTGGGATGTGGGCGTAGTGCAGCTCCATGTGCAGATTCCCTCCCTTACGACTGTGCAGGTTGCTGAGGACATGTGCGTCCATGGCATTTTGACTTCGGCCTTGCATTTCTTTTTCCTCCTGGAGCTGTCTTCCGACTGGCTGGAGGAGGATGTGGGGGCCATCCCTGGGTCCGGTGCCTTGGGCTCGGCAGCCCGCATGTTGGCTGTCTTGCTAAAGCTGTTTGCGCCGATCCTGCAGGATACGGTTTTCCTGTTCTATGCTTCCCGATTCGCGTGTTGGCAGGTGGTGCTTGCCTCCTCCCTGGAATCGGCCTGGACCCTGACTCTTAGGATGTCTTCACCTTTTTGTCCTCTGCTTTTTGAGGATTCTGCCGTGGCACAGTATATACAGGCTGCTTCGGGTATTTGTCGACCTATGTCTGACTTGTTGGTTCTCTGGGGGTCCGGGGGGGGTCCTTCCCATAGGGGTCGTGGTAGGCCACAGGTGCCAGGTTCGGGTTCGATCCCGCCTTCGTCTGGTCGCCACGGTGGTCGCTATGTGCGAGGTTCTGGGTCTCGTAAGGGGCAGCAGCCCTTTCGCGGTTCGCCCCATTGACGGGGCGATGGGAGGGGAGGCTTGCGCTGTTCGCTCACGCTTGGTCCCATGATTTGTGGGCATTTCAGGTTGCTTCTCTTTCCTGCAGTAACGTTGGATGGCCCTTCCTCCTTCGGGAAGTTCGGGGCTGGCGGGGCAGGCCTCTTCCCCTGTGCTCTGTCAAGTCATCTTGGAGTGGGTTCGCTTGGGCGTGGTCGAAACGACGATGTCCCTCAGATGGGTTCCCGTCTGTTCCCAGTACAGAAATGGGACTTTGCGGACCTGCGGTTCATGCTGGACTTGTTCCGTCTGAACCCATGGGTTCATTGCCCCCTCCTTTTGGATGACTATGCTGCCCCAGGTTCGGCTCCTGTTGGAGCCGAGCGCTTGGATGGTGTCCCTGGACCTCCGGGACGCTTATTGGTTTGTCCCGATTCATCTGGGGTTCAGGGACTGGCTCAGGTTTGTTGTGGGGCGTTGGGGTTACCGCTTTCGTTGTCTCCCATTCGGGTTGAACCTGGCACCTCGCGTGTTCACACGCCTTACACGGGTTGTCGTGGCCCGTCTGCATCTCCTAGGTGCTCGGGTGTTGGCCTACCTCGACGACTGGTTTGGGCTCCCAGTCAGTCCAGTTGTCAACTAGCCAGGGATTTGGTTCTTTCCCAGCTCACTGGGTTCGGGTGCTTGGTGAACTGGAGGAAGTCCCATCTGGTTCCCTCCCAGGTTCGAACGTGGTTGGGTCTTGTGTGGAACTCTCGGACCGCTTCCTTGTCTCTCCCTCCAGAGTCTCCTGCGGCAGCGGTCCTGCATGTGCCTGTTTCTGGTGGGCTCCCAGGTCACCCGGCGGTTGCTCGAGGGTTTGTGCGGGAGCCTGAACTTCGTGATGATGGTCTACCCGCCGGGAGCGGGTTTGGCTTCGTCGGCTGTTCTGATTCCTTCGGGGATGTCCCTTCCATCAATCTCGCGATGGCTGGGTTCAGACCCCGGGGGCCTTGTGTTGGCTGCTGCGCCGCCGGCTTCCTCTCAGGTTTTTCGGGGTTCAGTGCCTTGGCGCTTACCCGACCCCACGCTTGATGTGTTCACGGACGCTTCATCTCTCGGCTGGAGCTTTGTGACCAGTGCTCACCAGGCTGGTCAGGGATGGTGGGATCCGTCCTTCCGTCGAGCCGACAGCACAGTGCGGGAGTTCGCAGTGGCGTGGTTTGCTCTTCGGAGGATTCGGGTCACCCGCGGATCGACAATCCGACTCCATTCAGACTGCTCCCCGGTGGTTCATTGTCTGAACCGAGAGGGTTGGATGCGGTCCTTGGTTCGGTGCTGGTCACTTTGAGTGACTCGTCTGCTGAGTTCTTGGGGTTTGGCTCTCCTGGCAGTTCACTTGAAAGGAGTGTTCAACATCTTGGCCGACGGCCTGTCTCGTTTCGTTCCCTCTCCACAGAATGGACGGTCAACGCCGACTCCTTAAGTTGGCTTTGCCAAACGTTTGGTCGCCCCGAGGTGGACCTCTTCGCATCGGCATGGTTGTGGCGCCTTCCCCTGTATGTGGCACCCTTTCCCGGCTGCTAGGCCGTCAGGGTCGATGCCTTTCGGCAGGACTGATTGAGGTGGGGGTTCCTGTACTTCTTTCCCTCGGTTCAGCTGTTGCTCCAGGTCCTGTCTCGCTTGGGGACTTACCAGGGAAGAGTTGTCCTCTTGGCCCTGTAGTGGCCGGCCCAGCCGTGGTTTCAGGTGCTGCTTCCTCGGTGTCCGAACCCGGAGGTTTTCCCACGGCTCCGCCTCGTCCAGCAGATTGGACCGGAATGTCACGTGGCTGGTTTGATCTTCTCCTCGAGTCCTCGCGTGTGGTATTTTTGACTCAAGTTTATCATCATTTCTGTGGTGATCAGGGGGCTTCCTTTTTAGTGTTCCACTTGGGCTTCGTCTCGGTGGCATTACTGTATGAGGTTTCCTGGCGGTCCTTCTGTTTCTCCTTGCATCTTCATCGTTGTACTTTGCTTTCTGTTAGGGTGGTGTTGTCCTTTCTCTCTTGGCTGTTCCAGGACCATAACCTTATGCCTAACACTGTCGCCTTGTATCGTGTGGCGCTAGCGGAGCCGCTTCAGCTTGCTTTTAGTATTGATGTTACTTCTGCGATGTTTCGCAAGCTGTCTCGTGCGTTGTTTCACCTCCGGCCTGCTCATGCGCCGCCTGAGCCGTCCTGGACAGAGTGCTCTCTTTTCTTTCTTCTCCTCGGTTTGTTGTGGCCCCTTCGGTTCAGGATTGTTTCTCCAAAGCTCTTTTTCTGTTGGCATTGGCCTCTGGGGGTCGAGTTGGGGAGCTTCATGCTCTCTTCCGGTGCAGGGGTTTCTGCTCTTTCGGTCTTCGTGATGGTTTTGTCCGTCTGCAGCCGTCTCCTTCTTTTCTGGTGAAGAATGAGTCTGCTGCTTTCCAGAGGGGTCCCTGGGTTGTGGATGCTTGGTTAGGCTGTGGGTGCATCATGTTTTGTGTCCGGTTGCAGCTCTTCGCTGTTATTTGCGCGCCACGGCTTCTGTGTCCGGGGACACGCTTTGGGTTGATCCGGTTTCCCTTCTTCCCTGTTTGTGGGTGCGGGTCTCCCAGGTCGTCCGCAGAGTTATTAAGGCTAACCAGCCTGCGGTTTATCCCTGTGCCCATGACGTTCGTAAGTTCGCTGCTCTAGCTGCCGTCTTTGGCAACATGTCCTGGGCTGACATTCTGGCACAGGGATTTTGGCGGTCAAACAGGGTCCTGGCTGCCTGTTACCTCGTGAACCAGTTGGGCCTGTGTCATTTTGGGTCGGCAGTTGTAGCCAGTTGTCTCGACTTCGAGTTGAGGAGTGAGCAGCGACTGCCTCCAGGGTAAGTCCCTATTATACTTTTCCTCTGTGGGTTGTTAGCTCCGGGGAGCCGAAGGGGTTTTCCCCAGAAAACCTGCGTTGAATGTAATGAAACGCCATTCTCAGGGTGAGACCCGGAGGCTCCACCGGCATCCCTCCCTTTCTCCGGTCGGCGGTTTCTCACGTGTTTTGACATCCAGCTTCAGAACTGACGGGTGGGTAGCCGGCGGGGGGGTCTGGGGCTCCTCCTTCCCCCTCCCGGGGAGGGGGGGGGGAGATGCGCAGACAGCGGCGCGGCGACGTCTGACGTCATGCTCATTTGCTCGTTTCTTTTAGAGAAGTTCTATCCACTTGTTCGGCTTTTGGTAGCAATATTTTCACCAGAATAGGGGTTTGTTTTGGGATACTTACCTTTCTGGGTGTCTGACCCAGTCGATGGCAAACATAGAATGCTTCCAACAACACGGGGGTGTCTATAGGCCATTGCTCTCCATGCCTCTCTGAGGGAGGCCAGGTTCTGGCCTGTGGTCCCCGGTAGGCCCACAGAACTCCATACACATGACTGATGCCAAAGTCTAACATTAGCATATCAGTCTAGTAAGCTCCGGGGAGCCTCCGGGTCTCACCCAGAAAATGGCGTTTCATTACATTCAACGCTGGTTATTTATGTTCCTGGAAAATGGCATGTTATATAAAAAGGTGCTACAGTACATAACCTGAATAACATTTGGGAATAATAGGGTTACATTCTCAAACATGACAAAGGTGTACAATTTTTCTCAGGTTTTGAGTTAATCTGATACCTATTCTACCTTTGCCATATTAAGTATTTGGGTGTTGGTTGTTGGTAGGCCCGTATTAGTCTGAGAGACCTGTTACAAGCTAAAGCCTTTGCTGTACCAGCTCTGAAGCTCCGGAAACCTTCTAAGAAGCCAGTCAGAAAGGGGGATTTCATTACATTCAGTGTTTTATTATTATTATTATTTTGAGAATGTGCAGAGGGAATACACCTGATTCAGCAGTGTAAGGGGTAAACTATTCTATAATAATGCTAGTTGATCATATTTGCAGTGTTGGAATAGTACAGAAACACTGTAATGTCTGCTTATTCTCACAACTTTGAATGTAAATAAAAATTTAAAAATATTCAACCACGTTATATTTAACAACTATTGGGTATTTAATGCTCAATTTTTCTAGTTTATCTTCCAATTAATATACATTTTCTTGTATTTGTAGGGTTTAGGAGGCAATAAGGCTAACGAGTCCAACAACTACGTGGTATATAATGGTGACAGCACGACCCACCACAGGTCTGAAGAAGGTATTCTCCCGGCATTCAAGCGACTTAAATATGAAACTTAGTAATTGTCTGACAACAGTGGCAGATTAGGACAAGAGCTACATGTAGTATTGCTGTGTCATGTACGTAAGTTTTTCATGTATATTTTTGGATAAAAGTATTGTAATCAAAATTGTAGAAGACTGGTATATCCTCTACATAATATATTCTTTTCTAAGTGCTTCATTATAAACACTGAATTTCAGAAGAAGCTAATGCAAATAATAAACACAAAATATATGTTAAAGGAAGGCAAGAAATATGCTGATGAGAATATAAATGTGTATCTAGTCAGTATTACCGGGATTGTGACAGTTTGAGTCTTCACATTAAAGAGCAAAGCATGAAGTGCAAACTGGATGATATCATTTCACTCATTCAGGCTGTTATATTAATGCTTATCAAATCTACTCCTCTATAAGAATCTGCGAATGCCATATTGATCACGAAAATTAATGATCTAGTCTTCGGCAATATAGGAAAAAAAATTGCATTCAAACAAAATTCTAACAAGCTATTTTCAAGAAATTTATAATAAATTGTACACAATGTGATTATAAATGCAATTTGTCTGCATTGGGTCCATATTATATATATATATATATATATCAGTAGATATTTATGTAGAAACATTCTTTGTGCCAGAGAACTGTAGTACTGAAGTGAGCGTTGGGCTGGGAGTGCGCATACTACAGTCTGCTGTTACTAAACATTTGACACATAAGTAACAGGACATGAAACATTTGAGTGCTTTTATATAACTTATGTCAATAGTATCCTGCACTCCAGGGAAGATTTTCTGTTAGTTGTTTCAGAGATGTTGTGCATTTCTATTTTTATACAAAAGGAACAACTGATACACAGTGGAATGGTGCTGGTGACCATTACTGTTAGTTTTCTCTATACCAGATTAGGGCTAAGACGCAACACTTGCCTGTAGGTGAAGTAAGCTCACATCTGAAGAAGTGAGTGTGCCAGCATTTTATCTTAGGTTAGATCTTGACAAAGTCTGTTAACATTGATGTTTGCCATGTCCATGAAATGAATTACGGCGGTACAAGCGTACGAGATCATATATATATATATATATTGATGAAATGTTGAAGACATGCTAGATGGATGTGTTGTGTCTGCCTACCCTGAAACTGAAACCTCCGAGCCAAACCTCTCCTGCAGGTAAACTGGACAGCAGGAAGGACATAGCCCGCTCACCAGGCAAACTGGCATTCTTCCTGTGTGTTGTTGCTTTGCTCAATGTCTCCATCCAGTGTGTTAGCCTTTGGAGGAAGTGCAGCAGGACACCTCCTGAGCTCAGTTAGGAAATGAGTAATATCTTTTCTTTTTATTTTAATTATCTATTGATGGAATGATGTAATTGTGTAGTTGAAAATTTGGTCAAGTTATGTTACGTACACTGTATTGGAAGTGTTGGAGAGACGTGTACTAGACAGTATTATAGTCATGTGGTTTGTAGCTTGGTGGCTAGGACAGAACAAGAGACACTTGTGTGCATCAGGGCACTGATGATTACCCCATTGACATGGGTGTATTCGTGTGTTGTGTAGCACCGCGTGGCTTCCAAAGTCCCATGGTCTGTCCTTGCCTGTCAGAGTAAGGTGCCATTTTCATTATTTGCATTGGATATTTTGGGGTAAAATCTTGGGTGTTACTCATCATTTCTGTGTGGGGGGGACAGTATATATAAATTTTCTTCACATCAACAGTATTTTCCCACTTAATAAAACTTGATAGAAAATACCTGCTTAGTAGAATTTATTAAGATCATGTTAAGATTCTATTCCTCAATTTGTTCATTTTTTCAACTCTCACTGCCTATTAAAACTTCCATTGCTGTTTCAGAATGCAAACCCAAATTAAGCCTTGCCTTTTGGACATATCCAGGTACTGATAGCTTCATCCACAAGTGTAATGATGACTAATGCCCATTTACAGTACTTCTGTGTTGAATGTGATACTCTGTCGTAGGTTTGCCAAGCCTTTTGTTAATATATAAACTGTCTCAGATGATAAGGTCTGTGGACCAAGATTATAGATGTTTTTGTGTGCCTACTTCTGGAAATTACTCAACTTACAGCTAAGTCAACTACAGCTTGCCAATTAACACGTGTGATCTTAAAACTGTAATCCCAAAAACTTGTGTGTGTGTGTGCGCCTGTCTCCTCTGCACTGTTTGATACCCACGAGTGACTTGCTGGTACAAATATTATTCATAATCAAGTTCACAACCAACAAGTGGTCACAATTTGCTTTTTGTATGATAATATTAAGTAGTATATGTATTGATTGATGATTTGTGATAATTTATTATTATTTTTATTATGTGTGTGTAGGGATGTGATGACAACATTTTCAGTCATTTGTGAATAACATATGACTGACAAGTTATCCCTACATACGGTGTCATTTATTTAATGGCTGATTAATTTGCAGTCAGTCATTGACAATGATCTTATCAATTGTTCTATGTAAATGTTTAGTAAGTCTGTAATTTGTGTTAGTGTGGGGCAAAGTTGCAAATTTTGATAACCCATTCTTTGTTTAAATTAATTTTATTTTTAATGGTAGTACTTAAACTTGCGTGAAATGTTCAGGATACTTTATTAATAGTCTATCCTTAATTAATTTTAAATATTGCCTGGTTGATTATATTCATCATGAAGTGCAACTTTGCTTCATCCTTGTTTATGTTCAGTGTGACAGGCAAAAGAAACTAACAGGATTAACACTTAAGAAAAAACATCAACACCAGGATACGGATATTTGGAGGTCACACTGGCAGTGCAGTGGTCTTGGTGTGATAACTGCCTCACTGTTATAATGGGCTAAGTAAAGATCAGGCTTTCTCATTTAGTTTTTCTCAGGTGTTTTACAAGAGCCATTATAGACCATTGCTAAGCAGGTGACCCCAATTGACCCTGTTGTGTTGCTGATCATATGTTTCAGTGTAGTTCAGAATGAGTAAAAGATAATATGTTTTGTATGTTTGTTTTGTATAATGTATGATTAAACATGGAAATATTTTAGCTTTTATTTATTTTTCCTAAAAAAATAAAAACTTAAGTTTAGAATATCTATGAAAAAATTAACTGTATAGTGTAATAATTAAGAGGTGTAAATGTAAAAAATACTACTCAACTGCTCAGGGTGAAAAGCAGTAATAAACATGAAATGCAGTACGGTGGAGCACTGTATGCGAAATGCAGTGTGGTGAAGTATTGCATGTGAAAAGCAGTGAAGTGGAGTACTGCATGTAAAATGGAGTGGGGTGGAGTACTGCATGTGAAATGCAGTACTGTACTGTAAGAGAAAATGCCTCATTATCTTATGTGGGGTTTGAATTCACTGCCCAGCAGTGAAGATCTAGAATATTTGTTTTATATAAACAGCTGGTTGGGATCTGATGACAGTCTTAACCAAGCTCCAATATTATGCAGTCATTTTCATAAATGCACTTGGGAATAAAATACTGTAATATAAAATTAATAAAAATTTATAGTAATTTAAAATTTATTTAACTTCAGAAATACTTCACAAGAAATAATATACTGTATGAACATTTTACGGATGACATTAAACAACACCCATTTGAGGCATGTCAAAAGTCTTCCAAGCTAGGAGCCGGTCGGCTGAGCAGACAGCACGCGGGACTTGTGATCCTGTGGTCCTGGATTCAATCCCAGGCGCTGGCAAGAAACAATGGGCAGAGTTTCTTTCACCCTATGCCCCTGTTACCTAGCAGTAAAAATAGGTACCTGGGTGTTAGTCAGCTGTCACGGGCTGCTTCCTGGGGGTGGAGACCTGGTCAAGGACTGGGCCGCGGGGACACTAAAGCCCCGAAATCATCTCAAGATAACCTCAAGATAGCTATCGTAATCAGACAAAATGAGAGATACTGTCTGAGGCCACGCTTGCTACTCCTGTAAATGTGGATCTCAATGATGAATGCGTGAAAAGATGGAGGGAACAAAATTAATAAAAGTCCAGCACTACAAGGAAGCGACTGCAAACTAGCCAAACAAATGTCATCCATAGAAGCAAAATACAAGTTTTCTGAGGTTGGAAGAAAACGTGCTCAGATTGGGACGGTCCATAGAATTACCCAAATCAGCCCAAATCGGCCCAAAACTACACAAATCGTCCTAGCATTACGTAAGTAATGAAGAAATATGGTATATTTACTTACTATAATGTTGGTGCTACACGTAGAACATGATCAAACCTATTTTTACTCTGAAATAATCTAATTTCATAACGAAATGAGACGTAAATATGTGAGAGGTGACGCCATAGGAAGTCGACGGTCCAAGCGACAATTGTGTGGAGCGACTTATCCAAGATATATGGTCGCCTGGAGAGTGTTTGCTGCCATATCAGCCTCCTGTACACAGTGATCCAGTCCTTTTCGTTCATTGAACACCGAACCCTACACGCCCTCTGATATATTGCTTAATTAACAAATATTCACAAATAAAGATTATATTTGTATATGTTATCAGAAAGGCAGATATAAAATAGTTTTTGTGAATCCATCACAGAGATTATACCTTATTAGAGAGGAAAAATATTCATACTTTAAACAAGGCTTCATGGCCGACGCTCTCCTTACCGATATAGGAACTATGACCTTCCGAAGATCAATGTTAATTTAATCTAGATATTGTAATAAACGAAGTTTTCTATGTCATCATAAAGACATAAATATAAGCTGCATGTTAATACTTTGGCATAAATATAACTGAAGTGAAAGTGAAGATATATGCCTTTTTATAGTTACTTGATGGCTCGCTCAGGGAGTGTGAAGGCCTCCACACAAGCCAATCAATTTTATAATTACTTTGCATATATGCAAAGTAACGCCATAGGTCTTTATGTCAGAATAAAGACATGTAGACGATAATGTAACTACATTTCAAGGAAAACATATCTTAATATAATTATTAAATGAATGCAAAGTTATGGTTAAATAAATAGCCAATACCACACAATCGCCGGTGTCCGGACACATGAATAGTCGCATTAGGTGAAAGGAAATGTACCCAACCATTTCCATTTACCCAACCAGTTTGTGCACCCTATACTCATCCTCTGTGCGGTAATTTATTGTGCACCCCATACTCATCTTGTTACCAGTAGTTTGTGCAACCCATACTCATCCTGTGACCCGTAATTTATTGTGCATCCCATACTCATCCTGTTACCGGTAGTTTGTGCAGCCCATACCCATCCTGTGACCTGTAATTTATTGTGCAACCCATACTTATCCTGTGACCTGTAGTTTATTGTGCAGCTAATACTCATCCTGTGAGTCATAGGACATTGCGCAACCCTTTCTCATCGTGTGAATCTTTGTTTACTTTGCTCTCCATATTCATCCTCTGCGCGATAGTTTCTTGTGCAACCCATACCCATGATGTGAGTGGTAGTTTATTGTGTACCCTATACTCATCCTGTGAGTATAGGGTACACAATTCTTGTTTGGATTCTTGTAATGTTATTTGTCTATTTGTACTCACAGCATTTGTGCGCCCCTTGAGGGACTTGAATTAGAGGGGGGTTGAAATAGCCTAAGCTACTCTATCCCTTTGAGATGTATTTATTGCTTATCTCAATAAACATACTTGAACTTGAACTTGGGTACACAATGAGTTCATTTGTACTCCATACTCATCATCAAGAAGTGTATTTTACCAGCATTGTAATATAAATTAAGAATAAAAGCTTAACTGGATTACGGACCCATAATCAAAATAAGAGCCATCACTAATGTCTCAGACCCTGTTGGAATATAACCAGTCTGTCAATCGGGTCAACCCAAGTGTTGCGTTTCCATGCGTTTCCAAAAGGGTCGCCCATGTTGGAATCGGTGAACGCCCTAGTAATATTGTTGAAAACATCTTAATAACTTATTAAACCAAAGGTCTTTTTATGTCAGAAGAACGGCAGAAACTAGATCTATATATGAAAACTCTTTCAGGACAAAATTTAAAGTAAAACTAGATTATGTAAAACTAGATTAAAGTAAATTTATGTTTCTATCTTTCTTGAGACGTATAAAAATCTTACGTTTATTAACGATTCTGCGTGAAATAAGCATTGTTCTGAGATGAATATTGCGGATTTCCGGCTCTACGACCGATGAAAAATGCAACTTTTATACAACTACAAATATCTTTAGTTTTACTTTAAATTTTGTCCTGAAAGAGTTTTCATATATAGATCTAGTTTCTGCCGTTCTTCTGACATAAAAAGACCTTTGGTTTAATAAGTTATTAAGATGTTTTCAACAATATTACTAGGGCGTTCACCGATTCCAACATGGGCGACCCTTTTGGAAACGCATGGAAACGCAACACTTGGGTTGACCCGATTGACAGACTGGTTATATTCCAACAGGGTCTGAGACATTTACACTGGCGGGCGGCGTTCTTGCCAACTATATGGCTGTTAAGTTGAAAATTGTAACTGTTAAGAGCATTCTATTGTGGTTTTAATATTGAACAATTATACATATACGAAACAGACAAATCTGGTGTCCGAAATAGTAAAAATATTAGTGTGCGATGTGATCAATGTAAGGGGGATATTGGGTGTGCCTCGTATCCCCTACAACAACAAGAAGTTCGAGAGCGATGAGGCCGCCACCTACTAGCTTCAGGATGTCGTCGAATCTAAATCAACAATATACTACCGCCGCTACTTTCTCGGAAACGTAAGTACCTGCCGCTTTACTTCTCTCACCCTGCCTAGCCTGGCCTGGCCTGACCTGGCCTAGCCAGACCTGCCTAGCCTGGCCTAGCCTGACCTGACCAGACCTGACCTGACCTGGCCTAGCCTTACCTAGCCTAGTCTGACCTGGCCTAGTCTGACCTGACCTGGCCTAGCCTTACCCAACACTAATCACCACACGTGACAGCCCAAACGAATCGCAAATAAGTACACGTAACAAGTCATATGCCCGGACACTCTTTCACCTTGGGGACTGAGTGGTAACTATTGTATAGAAGAGCCGGCTCCCTGAGAGTGGTAAGAGGGCGTGATAAGAGGCTAACGTGTGGTCTTGAAGGAAGTCGATAAAGCAGACAATTTTCAAAAGGAAGGGCAGCATAACGAGCAGACAGGAATGGACAGACAGTCGGTTATCCCATAATGTGTAATACGCCCCGCACAGCATGGGTGGAGTGGGGGGGGGGGGTTGTAGCAGGGCACAGTATGGTGATGGTGCGGGTGAAGTACACACCCACTGAATTCCTGCCATCAATAATTGTTTTCATAACCATTAGAACAATGGCATCCCTCCAGCCACCATCCTTCCACTGACCCCCTCCTCTGGTCCTCCACCTCAGACAATAACCCCCCACACCCCCTCTCCCTTCCAGACATCAGCATGTCAAAATCAGTACCATAATGTGTTTAAACTATTTAAACTAAGTCATTGTGTATCTCAAGGTATCTTAATTCATTTGAAAGTGTACATGTGCATTCGTTCATATACTCGCCTAATTGTGCTTGCTGGGGTTGAGCTCTGGCTCTTTAGTTCCACCTCTCAACCGTCAATCAACAGGTGTACAGGTTTCTGAGCCTATTGGGCTCTATCATATCTACACTTGAACCTGTGTATGGAGTCAGCCTCCACCACATCACTTACTAATGCATTCCATTAGATATAATCATATATGATTACACATAATCATAATCATTCCATACACATAATCATATATGTGTACGTCAACGTATACATACATGCGTATATATACCTCATATTAAAATACTGATAAACGAATGACCATGAACAAATTAATTTATAATTGTAGCATTATATATAATTTTAATAGACTAATTACGTGTTTATACATTTGAATGGTCCAGACAGGTGGCCAGCCTTGGACATATACACTTCTGGTAGGCACAATGACCTCATGTTAGACCCTTGATAGATTATGTGAGAGAGAGAGAGAGCTGGGGCAGGGAGGTGCGTGCCCCAGGGAGATAATCCATGCCCATGCCCCGCCTCGAGGTCAGTTCT